TCTTCAATACATTTTGACTAACACAGGCATTGTGAGTAACAAATAACTAGTTAAAGGTGCACATGCAGAGATGGAAACCATTTTAGTTTGGTAACATAATTCTGATTTCAACTTTAGATTATGCGATTAAATGCTGATACTTGTATATATTTTGCAGATTTGGTACAACACAATTCAATATACCTGTTGTCAGAATAAAAGTAATAACAAAATCCTTGAAATCATAGTCTTTTAAACATTTGTACTTCTTCAGCATTCCTATCAATTGTGGTTGGCATCTCTTGCTTCAAATCTTGCAAATAGCCAAGGCAATCAGGAAACGTCCAGAGTAGTAAAGCACGCTAATTATACTTCAAGATTGTGTCTGGTGAGTTGAGGTCAGTGTGGAAGATGACAAGGCACAATCATATGTGTCAGTGTTTTATTACTGACTTCATTCAAGGACACCATATTTGTCAAGATTTTTAGAATGAATGCCTCTCTTAAGTAATGATAGTGTCTCAGCCACACAAATAAGCCTGCATTAAGGTACTTTGAGGCCCTGGTGCAATTATTTTTTTGAGCCCCCTTGAATAGAGTACAAGCAAATTTGAAGTTAATTATAATTAATACATATTAAGTTAATTACAGAATATAAGCTTGGGGCCCTGGCACGGTTACGTCATGGTTAATGCCGCCCTGCACACAACTATAGAATCTCTGGAACCATATACCTGTCTACACCAAATAGTTGACTTCATAGTGTTTAAAGGGGTTGCAAAAAAGTATTTGGACCATTATTTCAAACATTTCAGACAAGATGTTGCTTGGAATGGATAGACTCAGATGGTGAAACATCTGGTGCTAAACTTTGATATTCTAGAGCACTGGATGAGAAGCAATTTGATTAACTGGAACCCAGTTGCTACATAGTTATAATGGAGATTTAACCCTGTGAAAAAATGAACAGTTCAAGGATTAAAAAACATGAGAATTTAGCCACTTAGGTGAGTGATCTAAGAGATTGCAAGTATAGACATCCTAATCATATCTCCTGCCATTCATGATGAGATACTGATTGATAAAATCACCAAGGAGTTGCTAAGCACATCCATACAGTACCACATGAGTTTTAGGGATGGTTCATGTCAGATAGAGGCAATTTTTGTGACAACACAGTTCAAAGTAGTCATAGTGAACCATATACTGGAACAACAAAAAAAGAAAAATCAACAGCAGTGGCAAATGCAACTGTAGACTATTGTTTTGAACTAACCTCCACAGCCCAAGATGTCTACCCACACTTTACTGAAGCATTCACCAATAGCTCCACAGCAAAAGATTCAGCAAGGTGTTACAGTGCAGACACCATTGGTTCTCAATGAGCAACAAGGTTACCCTGGCCCAGTTTCTAGGGCTGCACCATTTATACTGAAAAAGTTGGTTACACAAAGATACAAGGAGTGTGAGGAAAGGAGGATGCTTCAACTGTGAGTTATCGGGTTGCTGGAAGTGGGAATGTTCACATCCTGTTCCAAGACAGGATTATTTAGTGTAAGTACTGTTGAGACAAACATCATAGAAGATGTAGGATAATCAATGGTGAGTTACTGCCACACTTATCCTTAGACTTTAAACTAGTAGAGCCTGAAGTCAGTTGGCCCAGCTCAAGTCAGCTTGCACTCACTGTTATAATGACTGATTCATACAACCATAGATTTAGTATCATGTGATATGCACCTATAACAGTATCTATAAATACAAACACACAAAGTTGAGTTTACAGTAGATACTAGAGCTACCAAAATCTTACTACATCTTACTATGTATCAGGATGTCTGAGTGAAGCCACCACATCAGCCAGATAGCACAAGCTTCATTCTGACAATTAATGACAAGTTAGGTGTGTGTGGGAAGGTGCGTCTCTGGCTTCATCTTGGTACTGGTGTTTGCCAATTAAATGGAGATAATTGTCTCTATTTTTGGTTCAGGCACTGGGATGGGCCAACTGAGGAAATTGTCAGCCACTTTGGCTTGTGCAATAAGTTATTTGTAATTGTACAGAAAAAAATCCAGCACTGCCCAGGTTAGGCCCCAAAACAGTGGGCTGCAAACATGCATTTTGAGAAGGAGGTACTGATACTGGCAAACATATAAAAGTGCTTACATCACTACTGGAATTGTAATAAGAAACTAATTCATTTTGCATTTCATCATCACACAACATGATGATGAGGAACCCACTTCAAGTAAACATATATATAGTAGAGATGACTGATATAGGTATTAAATGCTCTTATTTAACACACAAAACAAGTAACAACGTTTCAAACTTCTTAGGTCATCATCAGGTTAAGAATAACATTTTGAAAAGTGACAATTATTGATCACGTGTCACGTGGATGACAATAGTGATAAATATAGGATTGTAAGGAGGCACATATGGTAATTAACACAGTAATATCATGTGTGAACACATTCAAGGAAATAATTAATATAAATATAGCAGTATTCCTTGTTGGTTTAAATTTTTTTATTAGAAGAGCTTTAATTTTTCATTTGTTTACATATGTTTCTTTGCTTAACTATGTTAGTGTTTCCTGTGGTTATATTTTGTTTATTGGAGATACAGTGTTAAAAAATAGGTGGGTATTTTTTTGTGTTCATTGAATCTAGTTTCCATTTTTTGGCTTGGTTCTCTGACACAGAAATCATGGCAGTTTTGCATTGTGCTTTATAAATAACATTAGTATTATGTTTGTCAGAGTAGTTTAGTACCTGGTTTTTTGTATGAATTTAGTGTATACTGAAATGATAAACTTGGTCATGAGTTTTTTCCAAATCTTAGTTATTTTGTCACTGATATCTGGGATGTAAGGTATGCAGCAGTGTAAGGTTTTGTTGTTAGTTGTTTTATTGACTTTTGGATTGTTGGTTGGCTGTCCATTGTGTTGTTGGTTGTGGTTTCTGTGTATAATTCTTAAGACCGTTTATTAATTCCAAATATTATATTAATCCTTAAAACTTGCATATGAATGACAAATTAAATAACCAGGGATTACACTACCAAACAGATAATCATTTTGCTTCTTGTAGACAAAGGTGACACCATACATCAACTTGGATGAAAGGTAGAGAGACAAACGTGGCCTCTTTCCCCCAGGTCGTGTTGCAGGCAAATGGCCAAGAATGTAATCCAAAATATCAGAACTAAATAATTAAAAAAAAATGTTAAGTGAGTCCTGAAAAAATTTAAACACAAATTAAAAACAATATGCACTAAGGTATAGACAAAGTTTTTGTTATGAAAACAAAATGTTGAAGACAAAAAATCAAAATCTGTATATTTAAACCAACATAAAAAACATCTTATTATAACATAATAAAATTTAAGAACAAGAGACCCATTGGTTCATCTAGGCTGTCCCATTGACTAAACTAAATTAAGCTTAAAAATAAAAATACTCAAAGTTAGGCCTTATCAGTTAAATATTTATCAAGCCTTCCTTAAACTCCTTTAAATTTACTGTATCCATCAGATATGAAGGCAACTCATTCCAAAGATCAACCACCCTGTTAGAAAAATAACAACTATCTTAGCTGAAAATGATTCCTACCCTGCTAAAATTTATATTTGTGCAGCACATGATAAAGCATTGACACTAACAGTTCCTTTAACAATCTTGACCACTTCAACCAAATCCCCTTTCCCTCACCTTTTTCAAGAGAAAACAATTTCAGAAATCTTAACCCATCCTCATATGATAGACAACTGTTCTATCCCAGGTTTCTTCTTAGTATCCCTCTGCTAAACCCCTTCTAACAATTCAATGCCATTTCTAAAAACAGGAGCTCAAAACTGAAAACAGTACTCCAAATGTGGCCTGACCAGTAACATATTCAAGAAAGTCATGAACTTTTTAGACTTGTATTAAATACTTTTGTAGATATGACCTAAAATTCTATTTGCCCTACCACTAGCAACAGCACAATGCTTGGAAAGCTTAAGAAACTGATCAACCAAAACCCCAAGATCCTTTTCTTCTATAATATTATTAAGATTATTCACATCACAACCATACTTTTCATTCAAATTATGATAATCCAAATTCGTTACCTTGCATTTATCATAATTAAAAGCCACCTGTCATTCATTCATTCACCCAAATCACCAAGTATTCTAAAGCCTTTTATAAAAGATCAACGATCCCCTCACAGCCAGCAACACCCTAAACTTTGGTATCATCAGCAAATTTAACTTATTGACCATTCCTTTACTTATGTTATTGAAATTACTATTAATTTAAATATAATAATGAGGAGACTGAATTCATTAGGCTTTCTGTTGGTAGATGCAGGAGAAGAAGGTTTTTAGTTGGAAGTTGTTACAGAACAACAAATAAGATTAATGAGAAACTTTGCAGTGAGATTAAGATTTCAGCTGTTAATAAGGTCATAATTACAGGGGATTTTATTTTCAGGCATATAGAATTGGAAATGTTAGTCAAACCATGATGGAGGCAGGTTCTGAGAAACCATCAGTATGGTCTACTTCATCATTTGGTAAGAGAAGCTAGTAGACTAGAAACAATACTATTTTAGATATATTACTAAATTCTAATATAGAAATGCATTTAGTTTATTCTAGTCTTCACTATTGTAGTCCTAGTTTAAAGCTGCCCTTGAAGTTACAGTTACACTTACAGCTGAGATAAAAGCTCTTGCAAACATGCCAGCTCTGACCCTATTTAAATGTAATCAATTACTGAGCCCAACAATCAATCTATTATCAAATTTCACTAATCACCCAGCTCTAACTGCTACTGCTGCTAATATCATATTTGAAGATACTCTCATAACAATTGAGTTTAAAAATGGAACTGAAATGAACATTACTAGAACTTTTTAGTGAGCACAGTGAGCATTTAAACTGCAACTTATGCAGGATCTATGGTTGTAACTCAAATATTCTGTAAAAAAAAAGACAACAGTGAGTAAAAAAAAAGATTACAAATATGAATGACTAATGAAGCCATTTCTAGCATTAATAACAACTGCTCATTGTCATTAAGGATTATAATTACACCAAGAGATTAATGATAGTAACACTAACATTTTTTTTTCTGAATGATAAAACATTAAAGTGAAAATTAATTGGAATATTATTAGTATTTAAAGTGTGATTTAATTATACTTAAAGTCAATTTCTAATTTTGCAATGATTACTAATACATATATTTAACACAGGACAAATCAATTAATATTTAGGTAAATTTTAGTTCAACAGTCAAAGTGCCCTTACCTTTATTATTCTTTAGAGCTAGTGAAATTACTGAACAGTAGAGGCATCACCTTGCACTCAGTCTAGTCACTTGAGATTGTACAATTCCGCATTAATCATGAATAACAATCACAATAATAAGTTAACTTATACCTAGACATTTAGTGAATAGTACTTACCATGATTTTGAGATACCAACACTGACAAAATCTCTTCTAGATAACAGACTAGGTTCTGTAGCTGCTAACCTGTAAAATTTCAATAAATATTGTGTAAGTTAAAATAATTACCTTCAGGTTGCTATAAACATTATTTTAAACTAAATTAACTATTTCTGTAGTTATCTTCCAAACAACACTGTGCACAAAATGTTATTTAGTGGTGATACAAATTTTAACATATTCAATATTCTACTTTCTATGTTCTAAGATTATGAGTACATGCAGGTAAAATCTCTGCATCAACCATCATGTACCACATGTAAAAATCTAAAAACTTTCTCTTATTTCTGCTCTATGAGTGTGCTACTTTAACAGTTTTTAGCACAAAGCTATACAATGAGATTCCTATGCTCTGTCCACACAGAATAAACATGAATGGGTAAAACCAGATGAGCACAGTATTGCCTGAACTGGGCACTTAAATAGCACTAAATGCTACATCTTGTAAGTTATTTGATTACTCCAACTCTTCCATACAATAATCAAAGAAAATAATTTCCATGTCTATTTCAGTTCTTCTGCAATATGTGTGTGTGTGTAATAAAAGCTACATACCAGTATCTATTTGCCCTAACAGGGGAGAGTTAATTCACACTGAATGACATGATTTATATGTTGCTTGATACTGATGCAGTTTTCCTCTACACTAACCACAAGCAGATATTTCCAAGTCTATTACAGTTTTCTGTACTATAAGTCTCTCCAGACCAGCATACAACTGCTAGGATGGGGCAGTTAATTAACAATGAATGGGACATTTCATTTGTCACTACATTACTCCAGTTCTTCTCTACAATAATAAAAAAATCTGTTATATTTCATCTGTAATATAAAAATCTCTTCATACTAGCATATATTTGCCTAGATGGAGCAGTTAATTTGTTAACACTGAAATGCAGAATGACACATCTGATCATTCCAGTTTTCCCCTACACTATTCAAAAGAATTATTTTCAAAACTATTAGTTTCCTGAAATATGAAAAAAAACCTCTCTGGACCAGCATATAGTTAACTAAATGGTTCAATATTACTTTAAACAATTTCTAACTATTAAGCACAAATTTAAGCTACACAAAGGGCTATATGTATGCTGCCTACCACAGATAGCAAAACCCAATTTTTAGCTTAGAAGCCCACAGACTTATTACTGAGCCACCAAGATGCAAAGAACTTATAAGAAATTAAATTGTACTCTCATGTTCCAAATAATAATGCAGGTTCAAAAAATTCAGACTTCAAATTAAAGATGACCAAAAAATAATAATAATAATCGTGCATACCCAAATAAGCATTGTGCAGGGTAGAAAATTTCTCCAAAATTAATAATCATACAGGTACAATTATTTGGAATATGAGAGTAGACATGAAAGTTTTGTAATAAGATTTGCAACTCTTCATAAGCACAAATTTTTAATCTCTCATTTGTTACCTTGAATTTTCAGGATTTGCATATTCTGATGTATGCTGCCTGTTCACAGAAGCTTCTGAAATTTAATTGCCTATAACAATCATCAGTAAAATATTTTAAATAGAAAACTCAAATTTCAGTAACAAACTCAATCTTACATTTTCAGCAGCATGATGATTTCTTCTGCAAGTTGCTGATACATTTTTTAATTCTTCTGTACAGCATTAAGTGTCTTTTTAGTGAATTCTAATTTACTCTTAATAAATAATATATCTTTAACATCTCGAAATACACTTACTAGATTCTCAGGATTAGTACAGCGTATACTCAGACTACATTTTAATTTATTTTGCAGGTAATATTGATAGATAGCCTTAAAGTTAGAATTATTCATTAATATAGTCAGCCAAAAACAATATACTGAAAATGCAAAATGACAAATACTAATCACACTATTCTCCTACAGTTTAACTACAAATGCTATGGAATAATCTGTTTATGCATTTTTCATCAGGTTGAAAAATTTAAAATCTGTTCTCAAAACCAGTTTGTGTTGCGTTTTTTTATGAAATATCACATGCCTGATTTCAAATGTAATTGCTATTTAATTTTGTAGCACAGAATTTTGAATATGTCTTCAGAATTGAATAAAGAAAGAGTTAATTGATGTTCTGCTTGGAGTAGTCAAGATTTTGATGAGAATTCTAGATGAACTGTTAATGGTTTATCTCATACATATATTAATTGAATCATGAATGATATATATGTTATGGTAAATAAATGTGTATTGTTTGTTACTTTTGGACTTTGTGTGAATTCTTTGTTCTTTACACAAACTTCTTCAAGTTAGTGGATTGTACATTCACACTACTTATCCTGGTATTTAAATAAATATCATTTGTAGTGGGTTTATCAAACATATTACCAGTTCCCATTACACAAGTAATCAAAATATTGCCATTATGCTTGTTGTTAAATGCATTACTACATAATTTGGGGGAGGGGGTGTCTCTTGATTTGATGGTCTCAAGTTTGATTTCCATTGCCACTAAATTTTCTCACAGTCTTTATTAATGCAAAGCTACCAAAGCTATGTACCACTGTCACTAATTTTGAATTGTTGCTTAAAGACAGAAACTGGCTGGCAGCACCCACTGCCAACTCTCTTGCTACTTAAGTATTTAATAAATTGTAAGTGTACTGTTCTTTAACATTGTGTTAATTTTCGAATTTATAACTGAGTAATGTTGTATAAGCAGGCCTGAACTAAGGGTGTGGGAGTAAAAGGTTGGGTTCCACCTCCCTCAATTTTCTTCTTCTGGAATTAATAACTATTCTTTCATGTTTTATAAGCATGCATGGTTCTTTGTTAAGGAGTGCACTCATTTTTTCAGAAGTTAATGGTATACAAATAGGTGTTGATCTAGGGACTCCAACTCCCTCCATTTTTTTCAAAAATTAATAAAAAAACAACTAGATATCCTTACACTTACCATATAATATCAACAAGAAAAAATTATATCTCAGTGTTTTTATTTGATTGAGCTATTATGGCAATTAATTTGGCTGAGACTGAAACTAACAACTGATTATGTCTAAGCCAACATAAAAATATGAACATTAATTAAATGTTGCCATAGTTTGTTTGTTTGTTTTTAATTATGCACAAAGCTACACAAGGGCTATCTGTGCTCTGCCCACCACGGGTATCGAAACCCGGTTTCTAGCGTTGTAAGTCCGCAGACATACCGCTGAGCCACTGGGGGGCGTTGCCATAGTAAATTTACTGCCATAGTTAAGTTGCCTTTTTCCAGACACACTAATAATGTGTTTAGGTGCCAGAGATTTGTTTTCAACAATATTAGTTTTGTTTATTACACCAATAGCTCTTATAATTCAGTCTTGTGAGAAAGGTGTTTACTAAAATGATATGACTGTATACAGTGTATATGTACCAACTTAAAAAAACAAAAAGATAGACAGAACAGGCATCCTGTTTACCAAACTACTACATTTTTTTTCTAAATAGTTATAAATAATTATAACCGTTTAATTTAATCCAAAACTTTGAAATGTTTGGTTCTGTTTTTACTTTCATATCAATCACAATACAAGAAATTAAGCTTTGAAATCAATGGATTATAACCTGACTAATCTAAACATTTACAGAATATATTAACATTACTTTAAGTTTTACTTATTTAAGTTACTTTAGGAGTATATTATACGGTCAACACTGATTAATCCAAAATACTGTATTATAGTGGATGTTTCATATCTTTCATATAAAAATATTGAAAACTTGGTTACAGTATTACATGGCTATCTTTTAAAAAGTTAACTGATGTCATAACATCTTTGTAAAAATGAAACATTACTGTAACCTATGTGAAGTTAAACATTGTTTTTACTTACTACCAACAGTTCATAGACTTTCTAGTTCTATTCTTATTCATTCATTCCCTAATGGTTCTCAAACTTTGTAATGGAAATTTACAAAACAAATTGGTGTTATTTTAATATACTTTTATTTTAAATTTAGGCTACTTGAAGAATATCAAAAACTACTAAGTTTTTACTTTATCTAAGTACTTGCTTGCCTAATAAATAAAATAAGTTAAGATTATTCATTTCCCTTGGTTAGTTACATGTTTGGGTAACTGTGTAGTTATAGATACATTTATAATGCCCAAACATTGTCACACAACACACTTATAAGCTTATAAACAAGAAAACCAATACTGAATTGTTTGGAATAACCAGTCTGGAAAAGTATGTCAGTTGTAAATTTTGTGGAGCAGACAGAAAGATTGAAATCATGTTTACAACAACAACAACAAAAAAATCCCTCCAACACAAATGATGATAAAATAATCGCTAGGTTGGACTTAAGTAAATTTATTCATTGTAACGGTTATCCTGATAACTATATTTCAGAAATTTTTTAAAGGCATCTGACAAATATAGTTGGACAAAAGCATTTCAGTAAACCTTCAAGAACTGACTATCATCTGGTCTGTTTGTTTGTAATTAAGCACAAAGCTACACAATGAGCTATCTGTGCTCTGCCAACCACGG